GTGATGTGTAAAATTATATCCAAAAAAGTACAGGGTGATGTGTACACAAAACTGTTTTTACATTTGCAGATTACTTCATGTGAATTGTGGGTCATGTTACATTTGTAACTTCCTTTTTACACATTTGTGGAATTTTGTTCAATGTGTACTGCGGAGATCTGTAAATAAACATATACACAAATATCTCACAACCTAAAACATGTACTTTTGCTATGACACTTGTACAGAAAAGTTTAGATGTAGTAGAGTCCAGTGGGCCAGCAGAAGTAGATCAGAAAGCAGCGCTGCAGGCTGGCAGTCCAGTAGCAGCTCGGACAGGAGGAGGCCAGGTGCTGCTGAGAAAATGGGGAAACAGAGAGAGAAAGGCTCAGTGATTTATCTAGGAAATCCTCAACAGAAACACAGTACAGTGACATCCAGTGTTGGGCAAGTTACTCAGAAATTGTAATATATTAATAGTTACTTATTACTCCTTAAAGAAGTAATATTACTTTACTTATTACTGGGTGATAAAAGTAACTAGTTACTTTACTATATCCAGTGTTTCCCACAGAATGGGGGGGGGGGGGTATTCTAACTTTGGACAGATTTGTGCAGTGGTTTTCACGAGACAGAGAGAGAGGGAGGGAGGGAGGAGGTGCTGCACTAATATATGCTCCTCAATACAGCTCCTCAATTAAAAATGATTTTAAATAGCCTACACCTAGTAAAATAATTAGAAAATCAATATGTGGTGGTCTGCCTTGATAATTATCCAAATTATAGGCTAATTATGGGAAACGCTGCTTACACTACCACCCCCCCTTCACCCCCAAACAAAGCAGCCTCTCAAGACTTTTTAACTAACATCATATGAATAACAGAAGCAAGGGTAGACCTATGGTTTCAAGCATATAGTCTAGGCCTATCATTTCTTAACGCCACTGGCTGAAAAATATATAAAGCAATTAAATCCCGACTTTTAAACAGCTGTTTTTCTGCACATGTAGCCTGTTTATAAGAGCAGTATTCAGTAGATACAAAACGTTACGTTAAACATCAGTGACAGCATCTGCAGGAGTTTCTTTCTGTAAGTTTCATGTGGCTGTGCTGCTTCAGCAGATGCTTCAATAAATCAGATGTAGAAATGTTTGCGGTTGAAAGCTTTTGAGATTAATAGACGACTATGTTCTTTGCATGTTAGACTGTGACACAAAAATGTCAGAAGCTACTTCCAGCTGTGGAAAGAACGCCTCTCTCCCTCGTTGTCCAACATTGGACTTGAACAACAAAGTCCGGTCCCGCTGAGCTGCTGCACAGTCGTGAATTTACGTCAAGTAACAAGTAACGCAGCGGTACTTGCCTTAGTAACTAGTAATAATATTACTGTTTTAGAAAAGTAATTAGTTACACTACTAGTTACTGGGGAAAGTAATATTACAGCAACGTTACTGCCCAACACTGGTGACATCATGGTTTACTGTCACTAAGATAACGATCATTCTGCACTGATCTGTCAAACTGTCCTAGCCTACTGATTTATCACTATATACCTAAATGTTAACTGGTCACCGGACTGCGGTAAATGGAGGCTATATAAGAGACTGACATGCTAACTCCAGTTGTAGAGGGAATAACCAATTGTTGTGAAAATCATAAAATCTCTCCAGGTGAACTAAATGATAAAATATGAGCTTGTTAGTGTAACGTGGGCTAACGTTACACAGCTAACTCACCACAGGAGACACAAAGTTAGCAAACTGCACAGCAGACTTTCCTTGAGGACAAGGAACCCGATCCTGAAACACGAGCGTTGAGTTAAAATAAGATTCTCAACTACTTTGTTACTGTTTTACTTATCTCATTTTTTAAATGTAAGTGTTTAAATAGTTTGCTCTTTCTACTCTTGTGTTTAACGTTAATGACATTATGCTGCATGGAAAGCACTCTGAGCTGCATTTTGTGTACATGAAACCACATAAATATATTTTGTTAATATTATTTTAGTTTTAACTGAAAATCTCAGCATTACTGTTGCTCATGTTGTACTGTTGCATAACAGTCTTATTTGAAATATCATATTTTAGGGCGGAGAAAACACTCCAGAGTTTCATCATTGAGCTCTCTTTCAGCTGATGGTTATTGCAATCAAACCAAACTAAACATCAAGTAATTTTACTTAGTTTATATATTTGATCACAGAGCTAAGCGACTGTCCTCTCCACTAAACCCAGCAGATGACTAGCACCACTCTGTAGCCCCCTGCTATTAATCATATGTGCAAATTACACTTAATCACTCGTCATTTAGGTCATCTTCAAATGGAGCCGCATGCTAGCCATCTAAACACATTACATCGTGACACTGCAATTATGTGTTATTTAGGAAGAGAAGGTATAATAGCTGCCTCTCTTTGTGGGGACATCTCTCTTAGCTTCTTATGATCTTTACTGTGGAATACACACTCTGTGTACAGACCGACTGATCTCCAAGACTTTTGTTTGGGAGACAAATTCTACTTTTGCAACAAGTAACAGAATGTAATCCTAATACACTAGTCAGGGGAAATTTAAGGAAAGAAAGCTTTTGATAGTCATGAAAAGGAAAAACAGCTGTTCCATTGGTCCACGAGATGTGTACCTCAGTGTCTCTGGAGTAGCTCCAGTATGTATTTGGAGAATTATAAATTCTTAAGTGGTATTCCCATTAACCCATCTATTTTCCCCATTGCTGGTCATTTTTTTCACCTGGACTGATCAGGGAGAGTCACGATCAGTAATTTAGACCTGTGTAACAACCAACAACCTTCATTAGGTGACTCAAATGCGTGCGTGCGTGCGTGCACAGACACTGTAAGTGGTCAGTGTTCAGGGGACCAATTTGCCTTATTCAAGGTGCCCCTGATTTATTCTACCTTGTGACTGTCTTCATAACTGACCTATTATCCCGATATTTATCTTATCTTACCTTCATCCCTTTTCTTTTTTAAATGTGACATATCTTCTGTTTACATGTATTCCCACTTCAGCATCTAACAGTTTTGTCAGTCTAATGAAGCATAGTACAAGACTATCTAATGCTACTCTTTCATTCACAGTTCTCTTCTCCCTCTTTAAAGCTGGAGTGCAGGACTTTTATATAAAAATGAACATATGTTACATTCAAACCCTTACCAAACGAGTTCACAAAATGCTGATTGAGCCAGGTAAATTTCCCCATACTCGCAGTAAATCTGGTGTCTGTGGCGACGTTCCTGCACTGGCACATACTGATTGGTTTGCTAGAGCTGAATGGTGAAAGGGCAGCGACTGTAGCGACAGCAGCAGCTCGGTATGGCAGAGCCTATACTGGATGTCACTGTGTCGACAGTGTGTAATTACTCTCACTGTCAGAAAAGGGAAATTTTGCTGTGCAGGTTCAAGTTAAATTAATCAGATTTTTCCACAATCTCCACCAGCCAATCATGTCATTGCTGTCAAACTTTACATCTATTCTCCTCTCTGCACACCGTTTTATTTGAGTGAATTCTGAGTGTGAATTTTATGCTCTGACAAACTCGGACAATCGGACAGGTTCAAAAAATCATCTCAGTCCCACCTCATGTTCTCCACCCTGAGTGTCAGCTTTTCCTCCTCTAAGCAGGTACCACCACTTCAAACATTCCTTTGTCCCCTGTCCATTAAAGTCTTTGACACTACCTAGGCTGAAATATGTGTATGCTGTAGCTGTCCTTCCTGTTGTAGATCACTGTTATATTGTACTATGTGTGCTATAATTAGATTTGATTATGAAATGAATCTTTATAGTAACAAAATGTGTGAGATAATATCCATTAAAGCAGATCGCTATATGAAACTGTCTTTAGTGTGTTTGTGTCGCACTCACTCCAGTGTCTAGATGCCCAGATGAGCCTCGGTTTCAGGCTCAGAGCTAATTTAACCAAACAGCATCCTCTGCTGGTTGCTGGTCATATGTCTGTAGAGCTGAACATGAACATACCAGTTGGTTTCCCATTCTATTGTTTCCAGTTGTTGCGTGTATTCTATTCTATTCTATTCTGATCTCTGGTCTTTGGTCTGGTGAGGACTGTACAATTTGCTATAGTCTTTGATGCTCTCCCTTCTGGAGTTATTATGATTTTCAAGATACTTGTATACCTAATTTGCTGCCTCCTCTTGAGCCTGCAGAAACTATGATATGAAAAATTTGTTTTAACCATAAGGTCTCCAAAAACAATAAAAATATCAGCACTCTGTTCAAAAAGACTTTGTAGCAGTACCGACTGCTTGTGCATTCTGGAACTCATATGTTGGAGATATATGCTGGAAGGAAGTGTGGACTCTCTCACAAATATATGTTGGTGAATAAAGTAAGGGAAATTTCCTTTAAGATTTTGCATCGTTTCTACCCTGTAAAATCCTTTCTGGTGAAATTAAAAAAAGATATTGACATTCCTTCTGTGATCTTCATGTAGAAACTATAGCCCATTTATTCTGGCTTTGTACTTACACCAAGAAACTATGGAAATATGCATATAAATGTATTATTATTTCTTTCTTTATGTATTTTTCATATTTTCCATGCTATGTTTTCATTCCCTGGTGAGTTACCCTACCTGTGCCTACCACTTCCTGTCACCTATGCCCCTTTTGTATAACCCAGTGTCCAACATACTAATACAAAATATATCTAAACAAAATAATACACTGAACAAAATTATAAACGCAGCACTTTTGTTTTTGCTCCCATTCATCATGAGCGGAACTCAAAGATTGAAGAATTTCTCTATGTACACAAAAAGGCCTATTTTAATGACACTTGCTGGCTCTGAGTGAGGCTGTCAGGGCGGTTTTAAGTTTTCACAATCATTGCTTTAAATCATAATTTGTTCCACAGACTGCAGACTGTCCTGTTATAACCACATGTATAACACGCTTACCTCCACTCCAGTCCTGTAGGTGGCGGTAATGCATCTAAACATTGCCAGGTCGCCGCCAGTTTGACCCTTTGAGCTTGCCGTCGTCGCCACAGGAAGTCAGTTTCCTCTTTTGCAGAAAGCTAACGCTACAATTATAACGTTCCCCTGCTTCATACTGACACACTGAATTTATTTATATTTATGACAGACTTGAAAAAGCAACGTTTAAGCGTTGTTTGTGATAGTATCGAGGCATTTGTAGCCAGTTAGGATTACGATTGTAGCGTTGTGAAAGCAACAATAAGCTAAGGTAGTAATTGCAACAACCTTTTTATTTATCTAAGTTACCAACGTTGGTCTGAAGCCTTTTCTCCAAAATGATGAACTATTCTGACTACGACTCTGATGGATACTCCTCTAATGAAGATGCAGACTACGTCCCATCAGGTGAGGGCTGGAACTTTCCCCGCCTGTGGTTGTGTTAAAAGTAACGCGGGTAACGTTAGTAGCAGTCAGCTAGTAACGTCAGTCTTTACTAACTCGGCCAACGTTACAGGAAATGTCGCATGGACACTTAATGTTAGCGGGTTATATAGCAAATGAATTTGTCACATAACTGTGAATAGCTCACCGACACATGGTAACGCACTAAACGGAGTAAACGAGCACAGCTCCATGATTATGACTGAAGACCCTCCACAAAACACCGAGTCTGCAGCCAACCTTCATGTGCTGCGTTTATCTCAACACCTTTCTGCTGGCCGGTGGTTACCGTTACTTTCCTGTCGTTTGGTGTGTAGCCCTTATTAGACTCGTTTACACAGTGTTTGCTGTTGTTACAAACGGTTCAGGTTAACATCTCCTTCATCAGTTCACTCAGCTAAATTCACATAGAGATCTGCTCAGATTGATACAGTGTTCTGAAGTCATAGCTGAAGGTGGACTTATACTTGACTGCGTTATACATGTTTGCATACATGATGGGGCAGAATGAATATAATCACTATTACCTCCCATCACATCATTATTAACACTAGACTTTACTGCAGAAAAGCCGGTGTCCTTTCCAAGGCTGTTTGTTAAATATATTTTATCTCCATCACAATGACAGATTGCAAGGTCTGTGTTCTTAGCACTTATGATATGAAATATGATTAAAATCCTGGACCGATTAAATCAGTGTAACCGGTGTAACCCCCTGAGCACATAGTGCACGGTCCTGAATCGAACCGCGGACCTGGTGTGAGGGAGGCGGACGCGCTGACGAGGAGGCTTAAGACCCCACATACTTGCTTTTAACTACGCGTACCTGTACCTTAGATGGCTGCCACGCGTATCCAGCATTCCTTTGAAGCATCTCCATTAAACACAAATGAAGAAGAATAAGAAGGTTAGCTGCAGAGTTAAAAAAAGGAGATTTATGGCAGTGTGTTTAGAATAAAACTCCTTAAGCTAGTCCGCAATTACCGACATCGTTATGATGTCTCATTAAAATCACAACCTCCTCTAGTGTGGCTGTGTGGATCGTTTGTTTACGTTGTGCATATTTGGAGGTTGTCAAGGAAGATAATCTGGTGTCAGCGAGGGATGATCCGGCTCTGATCTAATCCTCCAGGTACACCTGACTGCAGGCGAGTATGTGACGGTATACAAACGGTATTGTTCACATACTCTACGCGTTGTTAAAAAGCAAGTATATCGGAGGCAGAAGCCCATGGGCACTATCGTCAGTCGCCAGTGCGTCTCTGAAAGTGTCACAGAGTGAGGGTTACTCACTCACAGCCTTGCTGGCTTCCGTTACATCAGCATGCTGATATTATCAGCTGATATGGGCTAATTGCAGATCAGCCGGTATCTGTGTTTATAATAGCAGATAAAAGACAATTAAAAGAGAAACAGAGACACATCCTTCACTTGTGTTATGAGTGTCGTAGTTGTAAAATTTGTCCTCCAGAGGGCGCACTGCAACACCCCTGTTAGCAACACACCTGAACAAATCCACCACAGAACATTTAACTTTGGTAACAAAGTTCTATATCTAACAAAGTTTTTTTTCAACTGCATTATGCCATGTTATCTTGGAGAGAGGTCATAACTACACAAAACTAACGTGAGGGACAATCTTTGATTGCGTTCAGTGAAGAACAATTTTGGATTTTAAAATCCTTAAATATCAAAGTCGGTATTGGTCTTAAAAATCCAACATCAGTCGGGCTCTAATGCTAATACAGATATTTAATAATGAATTACATTTATATAGCGCTTTATCATAGATACTCTAAGCACTTCACAGTGAAGTGGGGGAGACTCACCACACATCAGCTTGAGATAGAGCGGCAGGGAAACGTTGAGCCTATTACTATTTCCACTGTTGATAAATATCACAGTTGGTAAATGTATGCAAATTGTTTAGTTGGCTAATCAAAGTAATGGTGAAAGTGTGTGCCACAACATTACTTGAGATCAGACCTTTTACATGTGTCAAACAAAAACCTCAACAGAAGTCTGTAGAAGAACATGATCAGATCATAACATCGCAGTATGATTTTGCTTAAATTCCGTAAACTATAGTTTTGTCTGATGCACTCCCGCTGCATCCTGTTCTCTTTGTCCTCAGATGATAACCTCAGCGAGGATGACATTAATGAGTGCGAAAAGGAAGACCCTCTGCACGGGGATGATGATGTGCCGCATCCTGACAATGTTAGCAAGAAGAAGAGGAAGAAAAAGGACATCAGTATGAGGTGAGAGGAGCGTTTGGATTGCAGTTAAAGGGCTTGACTTGATGATTTACATTTTGTGGGTCAGTTACAGTCAAACCCCAGTTTAAGAACAACTGAGACATTTTTATAATACAAAGGTTGTGAAGGCTGATTCCAACACTGACTCTGGGGAACAGTGTCCTCAGTATGAGTTGAAACTATTGAATATTGAATGATTGAATGTTAGGCCCCTGTTTTCCTGTTTTGTTCTGAATGAGTGAACGAGGACAAAAACATGAAAGAAAACTTCACTCTGACTTCTTGCACGAAAAGAATTTTATTAGCAGGCTTGTTCTGCGGCTTTTCCTAAATTCTTGACCCGAAATGTCCGCCATTTTCATCCAACTCTTATTTCAAACATTCTCTGTATGTTTGCATGCTGTTCTATCTTTAATCAATGATGATGACCTTAATTCACATCCTCGAAACAATCTGCAGAAAGAGGAAGAAAGGAGTACTGAAGGTAGACCAGGAAGAGACGTGTGGAGACGGAGCGGAGGAGGGACTGCCTCCACAGGAAGAGGTGGCAAAACCCGCTGAGGTACAGAAGGATGATGATGACAGACAGAAGAAGAAATCAGATGACCTTTGGGCAAGTTTCCTGTCTGATGTTGGATCCAGGCCCAAAGAATCAGCACCTGCCTCACAATCAAATACCACACAGAAGGTAAATATGTTTTGAACCTAAATGTATGACTAATATGGTGTATGTTTTAAAATGGAAACACTTGGAGGGAACCAAACTCAAAACTTGTTAATGGTGCTTTCTGGTGTAAAGTCACAGGATACCATGTTCTAACCCAGATAATAGACGGTACTTAAAATACACCAAAAGGATCATCAGAGCATTAATTATCAAACCTACAGCATTTTCTGTACGTGTCTATATTTTTTTGTCTCTCCCTTAGACTGATTCTTTGGTTTTTATCCTCAGGATGATTCCTCAGTATTGAAGGTTGCACCTTTGAGTACAGAAACAAAAGCCTCAGAACCTGCTAAAGTCACCATCACTAAAGTTTTTGACTTCGCTGGAG